TGTTCACTTTTTTTGACCCAAGTTGCTACGTTGTCTTGACGGTAACTCTAGTGCATCGTGACTACGAAATTTTCTCACTTCACATGTACACATATTCCAGGAATTTCTTGTCCAACAAATGTTTGTAAATCTTGGGGTGCTCCTAGAACACCTCTTGTTTGTGACGTCTCACTCTAGTAGGTGTTTAAAAGTAACTACCAAAGTATGGCCGGACATGATGACAATGACATAGCCCTTATAGGCTATAATCTAAATGAGCATGTCCGTAATTCTAGCATCACGCATTGCCCCTGCATAATCTAAGGAAATCTAAGCTTTCTCAAGACCTAAATCTCATCCTTAGGTCCCACGATGAAGCGATATATTTTCACCTTCTCTATACCAATCGATTTTAGCATACACCTGTCTATTAGGTACTAGATCGTACTCATTCAAGGAAGACTACCTAATACTTGAGCCTGGTTACCACTAGGTAGTACTTCATTTGGAAGACACCTTTGAACTAGGACTACGTAACTATTCCTTTCTCAGTGTCAAGTATATTTAGGGCACACTTCTACTAAAAGTGTGTCATGCCTCTCACCATGTACATGGCATAATGTAGTTGATACCATAAATGACAACTTAAACATTGCAAGATTGTCTCTATAGCCTTCAACCACACTTTTTTGTGCCTCTTATCCCCTAACTCGATACCACGTGATTGAGGAATACCACTAACAACAGCCAAAACTCATCATTGCTAGAATTTAGTGTACAATTGGTGCGCTCATAACACCATTAATACTCCCCTCATGTGTTTTCCATTAACTAACTATATCTTGGTGTACGCTCGTATATTGTCAAAGATGCAACACTAAGAGTAGTCTTATGAACACACAGATAGTCTAATCCTTGAACTCTGTAGGACATGAGTCATGCCAAACAACATAATGAAAATCTCGTACAAAAGCAATCCTAGGTTTGTTGTTCTAGCTAATCATCAATTGAAGGTAATTTGACCAGACCATTTCCCTTATGGTCCTTACTATCTCATAGTGGGACTTAGTATCAATCAATTTATTCATAAGACAACATGGTTTTTTTTCAGGAATTATGTTGTTTCTTAGTGATTTTTTTTCTCTTTCAAATATTTGTTTAAACACTAGCATTATGATACTTATTGCTTCATTCTTGATGAACCACTATTTTATGATTGATATATATTATGAGGTAAGTAATACTAATAGGCTTCGTATCATGTTGGATCTGTTTTTTCAACTCTTCAATGTTATTAAAATTTCATTAGTCCAGTAGAAATAAAGAATTAATTTTGAGTTCATTTCGCTTTCCACGATCAATTTATCATTTTGAAATCATAATGACCTTGTCATTATAAGATTAAGGTTTTGATGTCTTGTAATCTAAAAATTACCTTATCATTCTAGTTAACCAATAAATTTAAAGATAAGTTCATTGTCACAGTATTTAAATAAATACTATACAGTTAAAACAAAATAAATGAACCATGAAAATAAAATAATGAACAAAACAATGGAAAAGCCTTTTGTTGGTCAACCCACGAACCAAATAGAAAACAAACTAAGACTATTTCTAGTTATTCCACGTAGAAAAAATAGGAACTCATTTTAAATTCAATTGTCTAAATTTAACAAATAATATCCCTATAAATTCCTTCTCTTATTCAATCAATCATTCACACAAAAAGGAAAAAAACTATAAAAGGAACAAAAAGGCTTAAAATTGTTTGGTAAAGTGGAGGAAAAAACTTCACAACAAGATGGCAAAGAGGATGATGGCAGTGTTCTTAATGTGTGTTTTATTGGTAAATGTACTACAATTCTCCACGGCCGACAAAACAACAGCAGAAATGGAGGCAAAAATGAAGTCATTTTTTAGTGACTTCGGGACTGTAAAGGAAAAATTAAAGACGTGTATTGAAACTTGTAACAAGGGATGCAAAGGCAATAACAAATGTCATTCTGATTGTGCAACAAATTGCGGCAAAAAAGAAGTTGCTGGTACATTTTTCGATCTCTTTCCTCCATTTTTTTTAGGAAAAAAAATTTTTAATTTCATCCCAAACGAAATTATTACCCTGCTTTCAAAAATTAGGTAAGTTTGATGAAATTAAATGTTTATAATGACATTTGATACCCAAATTTGAAGTAATTTTATCTCAAAATTTAAACCTTTTGTATTAATTAATTTATTTTTTTACTTATTTTTGCAGATAAATATAACATGAAAATGCCTCACTGAGAACGGGATGAATAATGAGCTTTGAAGAAAGATCAATTTGACATAGAAGATCAAATATAATTTATTTAAATAATGTTTGTGAGAGGAATTCTTAAATTCTTTTATCCTCTTTTATTTTTTTTTAATGTACTTTATTTATTTAAATAAAGCATTTCTTTGATATTGTTGTGTTTTTTCGGATTCGAGTTATTTATTACTATATTTCACAAGTGACATAAAATAATATCAATTTAACTTAGTAAATTCTATTCATATCATGTATCCTTAATGTATGTCCATTTCTTCTATACTTTTAACAAGTTATTTTTATGAATATAATTTTAAAACTATACCATACTTATATTGTATATTTATAGGAATTCTCAAAGTTCTCTTTGTTAGACAAGAGACTCTCCACAATGGTATGATATTGTCCATTTTGAGCATAAGCTCTCATGACTTTGCTTTGGGCTTCCCGAAAAGGTCTTATACCAATGGAGAGTGTATTCCTAGATTATAAACCCATGACCATTCCCTAAATTATCCAATGTGGGACACTTTCATCCAACACTCTTCACTAATCTCTTACAACTCCTTTCTAAATGTCACTTCCATAATCAACCCTTCATTTGTTTAGTTTAAGATTTACTATGAGAATTGTTGAAATTCTATTGACTCATCATAGCGATCATTTATCAAAGAATTGACTCTGTTATCAAATGATTGAATAACTGAGAGTAATGTACTACTTACAATATCTACTTAAAATAACTCAACTAGAAATAACTACTTACCTTTTTCTTTATCCTTTTCCATGTTACTTATTAAAAGTTTATCCTTTTCCATGGTATATAAATGGACCTTTTGTTAAACGAAAATAAGTCGTAGTGTAATAAAAGATTGGATCAGAAAATAATCATGAAAGTGATTGGCATTAGCAATGTTATGATATGCATGATGTATAAAAGTGTATGAAACTTGGATGTTATGATGCAATGTAACGGCCATAAAAAAAAATAAAAATAAAAAATAAAATAAAAATAAAAATAAAAAATAAAAAAGCTAGAATTCTTGGTCTCCTTCAAGACACGCTTTCCCTCGACCCCTACAGTATGCCAAACAACCCCTACAGTATGCCAAAAAGCTAGAATTCTTTAGTCACGTTTAATGAGATTGCACTTTTAATTATTGAATATAAGTGGACCTTTTGTTGAAAACGAAAATGAGTTGTAGTAATAAGTAATAAAAAGATTGGACCGGAAAATAATCATGAAAGTGATTGGCATTTGCAACGTTATGATATGCATGATGTATAAAAGTGATATGAAATTTGGATGCTATGATGTAATTGATGTATGAAAGTGATATGAAATTTGGATGCTATGATGTAATTGATGTATGAAAGTGATATGAAATTTGGATGCTATGATGTAATTGATGTATAAAAGTGATATGAAATTTGGATGCTATGATGCAATGTAACGGCCATAAAAAAAATAAAAAATAAAAAAGCTAGAATTCTTGGTCTCCTTCAAGATACGCACACCCATTTTCGTGATGTATAAAAGTGATATGAATTTTGGATGCTATGATGCAATGTAGCGGCCATAAAAAAAAAAAAAAAAAAAAAA